TCACACGTGGCACACTTCTCAAGCTCCCCTCGCAATAATTGAACCATCTCTCTCAGTGAGCTGAAATGGTGTAGGAAGCCATTGCGACAGCCTGTGTTGATACCATTAAACCATACTCGTGCATAAATCTAACTATATAGCATGTGTCACAAACCGCACACAATGAACTGTTCACAAGCCATAACCTACATTTCTATGTGCATCAAATATATATATGGACTATGGACTAAATACATAATTCCAGAGTTAAGTTTTTGTATAAATACATTCAGCTTTTAAAAAAATACTATTCAATATTTAAAGTAGGTATACTGTACAACACAAAATTGTATTGTAGTAATGTTATGTTTGACAATTATTGTTGTAGTGTTCGTTAAAACCATGTTACAGTTTATATATATATATATATATATATATATATAGTTGCACAGCAATAAGGCTACTTTTCATTGCAGAAAATTGTATTTGTGCGTGATCCAAAATGCACTAGTGAAATAGCTGCTGCTGCCAAAAACTAAATTGTGTTGCATGCTATGGTGGGTGGGAATTTATGTTTTCAGTTGTTTTCAATTTTCAGTATAAAGAAGGGAGAAAAAAAAAAAAAGAAAAACCGACAGTTTTGGTTTGAACCGTTATTGAGGGTAGTTCTATGTCCTCACAACAAGATGTCTCTGTGGCCTTTCTGTCTTCTGCTTCCCTCCCACAGTACAAAGGTGTCTATCAGGTTATGTTAGGTTAAATGGTGTTTCTGAATTGACTGTAAGTGTGAGGGAACTCGGCTGTCTGTCTTTGTTAGCCGTCAAAAATACTTGTGACTCATCCGGAAGAAGGAAAGAAAAATCACGTTAGACATCAATGTATTCAAAGGATTGCATTTGTTGTTTTATAGCTGACATGGTCAGCCTTCATCATCAACCTATACCTATCCTAAAAAAATGAAGACCCTTATTGTATCTTCAAAACACATATTTTTTAATGCAATTACCAGGATATATAATTTTGGGTATAATAAAAGTACATTCATTTGTCTTTGGACAAAACATTAATTCCCCATAAATATGTATATGGTGATAAATATTAAAAGCACATTGTGCTGAGCATATTTAACAAGATATTTTATAAGTAGCATCAACAAATATTTTGCATCAGCAGAGAAGATGAACCTACTATTGAACATGATTTTTTTTATCACTGATATATCTGCATTACATTTCAGCCCAAGATAATCTGCTAGTCCGTCAATGGTCAAATCTGCTTATGTGACACCAAAAGAGACTATAAGTACTGACTTGCTCAAGTGAATTTTGTTATTGCAACCAAAACTTAAAAATAACAAAACTAAAAATTGTATGCCAAACTTTCTGCCTTCTCCACTTAATATAATCACAATAAGAAAAGCATTTGCATTTATATAGTTCTTTCAGACTGTCTGATGTTGTTGCCAGCAGTATTCAGAAACAGCTCAGCGTCTAACTGATTGTTACTGTAGTGAACCAGATAACCTCAAATATACCAGATGGACAGAGACTGTTATTTTCATTGATCTGAATAAGTCTGAACCATCTGATGAACTTTCTTTCTTGAATTAATCAAGCAGAAAAGACAATTCTTTATAATCATTACTGTCTTACAAATGTTTTGATAATCAAATTGTGTTAGTTCACTCAATGCTTTACAGGTTGAAAAGAACTACTAATTTTTATTTTACATAAACAGTAAGTAATGATTTTTGTTCCTCATTCAGAGAAGAAATCACCTGAATATGCCTTTCTTGATTTTCTGTCTGAAATGAGCAAGCTGTCGTAAGTATGTTAAAGGTTGGTTTTCGGTCAACTAAAATGTTTACCGAGAAAAATGTCATGTTTTACTATTTGAAAAGATTACAAAGTGTGAGACTCCACGAAGTCTGCTGTTGCTGCAATAATCTTTTCTGTATGTTGTAAACAATCCTTGACTTATGATAACATCTTACGTCACAAATCCACTCCTCTTTCTGGTCCTTCCACGAATCAGAAAGCTCTAAATTGAACAGGAAGTCGACCCAAATAAAATGTGGCAACTTCTCAGTTCATAGAATAGAGAGAAGAGAAGAATTCGAGGATTCCAGAATTCCAAGAGAATGAGAGTTCTGAGAGATGTTGGAATGAGAGCTGACAACAGGTCCGATAGTCCAACAGAATGAGCAGATTGAGAGTGCAACCGGTTATGAAGAGTTTGGAGTTATGAAGAACCAGGGACGTTTGGGATTATAAGTCTGTTTTGAGCTAACCACGCACGACTCTCCGAGGATTTTTAGCTGTGCTTAACGGAGGCGCTGGAAACAGTCTGAAGGATGCTTACTGAGCTGATCTATCGTCAAACCAGGTAAAGGCTTCTTCTTCGACTAAAGTGTACCGTGGACGGGCTGAGGATCTGACGGAGCGTGCAATTTCTGGTTAAACAGATTAAACTTCCCTCACACAGTTCTCTGTAAGATAATCTCCTTTCACTCTAAAACCCACCTCTCTCTCATAAATCAGTACAGATATTTTAGAAATATCTTAAGCAAAGTCCTCAAATCACCGCCGAGTGATTTGAAGTTCATTTTCTGTGAAACTGTCTGTTATTATTTTCATATTTTGCCAAATTAATGTAAATGTTTGATGTTAAACTTTGATTCTGAAAATAAATGATTCCATTCATTTGATGGGTCAAAGATAAATAACGTCTCTTGTTTACATTTCTGTTAAATTCAATGCACGACATTTACAGTCAGAAAAATGAAGAACTCGTGAAAAGTATGCATAAATATATATCCATATATTTGTCATACAACAAGTGACACGTACCTCACGTGTCTCACTACATTACCTAGGGAAAATTAAGATAAGTGAGTAATCCCATGGATGAAAATGGCTTTGTTGGACCCACAGTAGTAGCACCAACCAAGTAAGCAGAATTAACAAACCTTCCATATTAAATGCCAGAAATGAAAATAGCCTCTTTACAGTTTCACGTTTCCCTGGAATAATGATATCTCACTCATCTCTCAACTGAAATGAGGCATGTCTGATTTTTTTTTTTTTTTTATGGTTTAAACTATTGTATAATTTTGTATTGTTTAAATGGGTAAAGAGATGGAGTGATTTTGCAGTTTTATTTAAAAGCTCATTTAGATTCATTTTTTATGCCGTATTTTAAATTCACTGTGAGCTACAATGTAATCCATATTTGCTGTAACTGAAATCCTCACAAAGTGGTTAACTGTATTGAAATTAAATATTCTCTGATACTGCATATGCTATACATCCTTCCATAGCATGAATATAGATAGGCTGGTCCCAATCCACTTGCAAATGGAACTAGCAAATTGCTATAGATGACAGGGACAGAATAGTAATCTGAGCCTTCTGATTTAATGGCTTGCGACTATAATGGTAATCTGCTGGCCTCTCTTCCCCCCTTAGGTTCTCCATTCAATGACAGGAAACAAACAGTGCTGTGACACTTCCTGCTAATTAGCAACATTAGCATATGGTTATTATGTAGCTGGACAGTGGCATGACAGGGCTCTAAGAAGGGCTACAGTGGTGACCTTTAGTGGACATCACCAGCTGTCAGTAATTACCCATAACACTGGCCTCAGGAACAGAGACAGAGACTGACTTCTTGCCCTTGAGGGCTTGTGGCATCTAGGAACATCTTCCCATTACCCTCCATTTTACCTTCACTTTCCTGTATATGACTATATTTGGAAATATATGCTTCACCATAGACAAACATAATATAACTTTCCAACCTTCTAATTAGAAATCATGAAGTTTTAAAGGCTGTAGGGTGAGATTTACTTAAAATGTGTGACTAAATGGGATGATGTGCCTGCACATTTGCTGCCAGAAGCTTGCATATTCACACTGTGGACAAATGTATTGCACTTAATGTGAAATAATGATTTAAACAACTGCTGCTCCACAAACTCTTTTTTCAAAATGTTATGTGAAGATCTCTATTTTGTATTTTTATTTTTTTTTTTGTCTAAGTGCCGGTAATCACATGTTGTTTGATGCAGTTTTCTTTGGCTTGTAACACTCTTTGAAGAAGTAATGTTTACTGTAGAAATCTGTGTTTCCTGTCATCTGTGAGAACGTCTGGGCTTATGAAAAGGAAAACAACTTTAAGTGGTGCAGCTTTTTTCTTGTGTACTGAAGAGGTAATTTGAAACTTCAAAATATGTACTTGGAAAATTAAGTGCATGAAAGTGAGACACCGTACTGGTACTTTTTTTATTTGAGTTTTATTTTTTTCCCGGCAGCTCCCATCTTCAGGGGTCACCACAGCAAACTAACTCACACGAAGACTTGGTAATTGTTTTACGCCGGATGCCATTCCTTTCACAACTACAAACCACTGTTACCACAGTGTGGAGCAGAGAGCTGCCATCTAGGGTGCCTGGTTGAGCAGATGGTGAGGGTTAAGGGTCTTGCTCAAGGGCCCAGAATGGGTCAAATGAAGGTGGAGGCACGTGTGGAGGGTGGAGGCAGATGTGGGTGCTTCAGCTTTCCCACCCTCATTTTGATGTTGTTGGTACAGGGGTTCCAACGAGCGACCTTCCAATCACAAGCTTTCCCTCTCTAATGTCTGTGTCACCACTCCATTAGATATCTCTCTGGTACAATGGTACCACAATATTTTATTCTGCCTCTTTCATGTATATTCACAGTCATGTTTGTATGAATATAATGAATGTGTTTAAGTGCATGTATTGCTCTTAATGTTCCTTTGAAAAAATTGTCACTGATGCATCATGTATTCCAGCTCACATCTTTTAACTGTTTGCCAAATATAGTGTATCATTACCTATACATGTTTGCGTGTGCGTGCATGTATGTGGGGTATATGTGTAATATATACATATATTGTATTCACATTTTTGATCCAGGAATACCTCCTAATGACTTTCCTGCTCTGAAAATGTTTTTTTTTTCCTTGTTTTTTTGTGCCTTTTGCCTTTTTTAAATAAGGTTCTCTTTTTTTTAACAGGGACGTCTGTTATGAAGGTTACTGCATCTGATGCTGATGACCCCACATACGGCAACAGCGCCAGAATTGTGTATAGTGTACTGGATGGAGAAAAGTTTTTCACTGTTGACAGACACACAGGTAAGAAAATGCTTCCTAAATGTGTCTTTTTCTTTGAACTTGTTCCTGTACTTTTTTCTTCTAATGACAGTATCTTAACTTATATATTTAGAATACACATTTCCAAGATCAATAAAGGACTTCTCACAGCCCAGTTTAAAGAATTAAGTTAAAAACTCAATTAATGACCATCAGACCATATACTTTGGAGGGTCAGCACATTATAACATGTGTGAATGAGAAAAATAAAACAAACAAATACATAAATCAATAAATAAATTACTAACATATAGTTGGGTAAATAAAGTCACCAATGTCTCAGAAGGTAAGGGCAGCCTTGCCAGTTATGTAACATTTTAGATTAGAAAAAAAAAAAAATCTCCTATGGTATTCTAATATTAGAGAACTCGTTAAGACCCATGTGTGAAAATAAAATAGAGTTTTGATTTTATCCGTTCCCTCCGCTTAGTAAATGGTGCTAAAAACACAGTTTTCTCATAACATTGGTATTTATGTTCAGCAGGCGTTATGCTGAGCTGAATTATTTTGGGGGCACAGCTATGGGAACAACGCTCAACAAAGAAAGATAAGACAGGGCAACACTGACTGGAAATAATGGTTTAGGCACAGTTATGCATTGCAACATCTGACTTTAATATTCAATAGTATTTTTGTTATTAGTTGTATTATCACCAAAACAGCACTAGACATTAATATGTCAAACATTTATGCCTCTAATTAATGCAATTACAACATATTTAGAAATGTATCTTTGTCTAAGGGCATTGGAGCAGTGGCTGAATCTGTTGACCCTTAGCAAGAAGGTTACAAGTTTAAACCCAGTTATATCCATTGTGTGTGTGTAGTTTGCATTTTTTTGTTTGTTTGTTTTGTTTTGTTTTTTCTTTGCAAACAGGTTATCCCTGGGTACTCCAGTTTCCTTCCATAGACATATTTTTTGTCAAATCAAGAAACAAATTCAAAATATTACTTCTAACCTACAAAGCACTCAACATCCTAGCTCCATCTTATATTCAAGACCTTATTGTTCCATATTTTCCCAACAGAGCACTTTGCTCTCAGACTGCAGGATTACATGCGGTTCCTAGAGTTTTCAAAAGCATAATGGGAGGAAGATATTTCATATATCAGCCTCTTGTGGAACCAACTTCCAGTTTCTGTCCATGAGGCTGACACATTGTCCAGTTTTAAGACTGGACTTAAGACTTTACTTTTTGATCAATCCTATAATTAAGGTTGGCTTGTTATGCTGCTACACGCTTAGACTTCTGGAGAACAAATTGATCTTATTTCCTTAAACAAATTGTTAAAATTGAATAGTTTTCATTTTATACTATTTCTGTCTTAACATGTGATTCTTGACCTGCCATTGTGTATCTGTTCCTCCTTCCTGTTCCTCTCAAACCCAGCCCGTTGAAGGAGATGGCCACTTGTCCTGAGCATGGTTCTGCTAAAGGTTTCTTCCTCATGAGGGAGTTTTCTTTTCCACAGTTGCTTTTTTTGCTTGCTCAAGATGAGAGTTATGTGATGGAATTAAATTCAAAGCAGTCTGCTCCTCAGATAAATAGTGTTAAAATATTGTATATATATTGTACATATGAATGCTTCTTTTCAGTGTCCTGGGATGACCTCTGTTGTAACTTGGCACCATATAAATAAACTGAATTGGATTGAGTAGACCAAAAACATGCATGTAAAGTTAGCTGTAAACTCTAAATTATTGCTAGAGGACAGTGTGAGCGGGCAAACGTCTTTATGTGACCCTCTAGTAGATTGGAAATATGTTTGGTCTATAAACAGCCGCTCGCCTAATGATCACAGAGCATATCAATATTTCTGCATGACCCTGATGGGAAAAGTGAGTAAAGACGATGTATGTATGAATGGATGTATGGATGAATGTATAGATGGATGGATGTCTAATTTTTGAGAGTTTTTATCTTACCCATTTTACAGTTTGAAGCTGCTTCTTAAATACCTGTTTCCACTCAGACTCATGATGAATGAAATACTATTTGTCGAGCTTAACGTTTTGAAATTTTCCATTCAGCTTGTTTCATCCTTATTTAAATTTAAGTGTTGCTACATTCACTTTATTTTGACAGTCAGTATTCCATTTAGTGTTTCATATTTTTGTCAGAATAGGATAACTTATTATAGTTGTAATTTGAGTTTTCTTTATTATAGCAGACATAAATTTGGTCATGCATGTACCATTAACTGAACAATGTCCAACATGAAACACCCACATCTCCCTCCACCCTCATTCGCCCCACTCTGGGCCCCTGAGCAAGGCCCTTAACCCCCACCATCTGCTCCCTAAACAGGTCTCTCTTGAAAATGAGTTCTCATGGCTCAATGAGACTACCTGTATAAATAAAGGGTAAATGAAAAAATGATTAAAAAGAATCAGTAATTTATTATTTTACTGTTGTCCCCTTTTTTATAACTTAATATTAGGAAATCAAACATATATCAAGGGGTTGGTTGTATTTCTGTGATCAAAGCATTTTCTACATGGTTTAATTATTATTATTTTTTATAAACTTTAAAAAAAAGAGCTGTCTTCTTCGAAGCAAACTTATAAGAACAAACGTGTGTTAAATGTTTTATCAAAATATGTGTTATAACATAAACACAATTATATATATTTTTTCTCCCCACTTAAATACATGATAATCCTATACTTTTCCCCCTACAGACATGGAGCTTATAGCAGCAGTAAGACCTGACCTACAGTGTAGCAGGAGTACCCTAGCACTAGTGTTTGAATGCTGTCCCCCAGGGAAAAGTGCTAAAGTTTTAATGATTCCTTTTTGGTATCCACCACTTTGATTTGGTCAGGGTGCCTGGATGATAAATGACTCTACTTTGGTGGGATAAGCCAGGAGACTGGATGGTTTATTCCAGCTCTTGATTCACAACCCTCATTCAACCCACCCCCTCTACCTACCTTATAGGCAGACAAGCTTAAAAGCTGGGAGGAGAAGGTAGGTGGATAATAATAGACAAGAAAATAGGTGCAAGTCTAGAGGGTCAAAATATGGAAGGGACAGAAATCAAACTCAATAATAGCACTCTAACTCACATTGACAACAAGCTCTGTAGCAATTATCAGTTTGTCTTCAAACATTAACAAATTATCTGCCAAACTTTTTTTTTTTTTTTTGTCCTGTTTTTAAGGACTGAACCACATACAAGCAAGAGCAGTTACAACACTTTTTTTCAATGCATGCATTCAGGACACGGCTACAGCTTTCTTTTACATTATTTGTCACCCATGTATTTTACTAGTAAATATACAGTTTTGAAGAATAGATCAGACTTTTTTTCTCAATATTTTGAACAATTGTGTGTAAATAGGTTTTGTCTTTATGATGCAGTACCAGAAATGTAACAATACAGTACAGTAATTTGACCTACCAGGTTCCTAATGGCTCAGTTTATACGCCACATGCAAATGTGTGCAAACAGTGAAGGTGAGAAGAAACTATGTTTGTGATCTTTCTGTATGACCATTTTATCAAAATAATTAATTGCTGTCAACATAAAGGTGAATACAGTAAACGCATTAGCACTACTCTGATCTAAAAGAGGCTGTGTGTATGTGTCTGTAGGTGGAACATATCTGCACAGAAATTACGAGTGAGTTTTGACTTCAAAAGAGGTTCTGTATTATGGGAATGTTGAAAAAAATGTGTGTTAAAAACAGTGATGTTTAGTGACATGTTTGCATCAGTTAATCCACAGAGAACTACTAGGATGAATTCTACAACACAATGATTATCTTGGACCAAAGACAATAAAGCAAACCTTTGTCAAGATTTTTTTGTTTGTTTGTTTGTTTGTAGTAATTACATAGAGACACAAAAGGCTGTGAGAACATTCATGAAACAGAGCATGCTGTGAAAATTAATGTGCCATTTAGCTCTCATGAATTTGTACCTTTTAGATTATTATTATTTTCTTTAATTATTTAGCTGGGTGTCACATTATACTTTTTACTTTGTCTAATACCTCAATTCCACACTATCGTTTTTAAGTTAAATACATTGTCTATTTTCAAAGCTCAAAATGCCAGAGACACAAGTAATAATAACTAAAAGAAGTGATAAATATGTTTAAAGATGCAATTATGCAATTTCGATTTTCTCCATGTCACGTTTAGTTATGCAATTTAAATTACAAAGGTACCACCCATGAAAATTTCTGCGCAGCAATATGTATGGTTCAACAGTTTCTATTCATACAGTGGTGGATGAAAATGGCACTGTGACAGGCACAAAATATATTCTTATTATTTTTTTATATATATATTTTCATTTCAATTTTTTGCACTAGCTGTAAGGGCCCAAAAAGCAGAATGGTTGACTTCATAAGTGCATAATAGAATTAGACTTCCATTGCTTCACTTGATGAAAACGGGTTATTAAAAAAAATAAAGAAAAACACATTTTATCCCCCTGTAACTTCACAGCTGCACACTTAGTTTTAATGGATGTAGTAGTACTTAGTCAAATTCAAAAGTAAGTGAAATCAGAACGTTGGACGCTCAACTGCTCTGCGCTGGTTAATATTTGCCACCGGAATGTGAAATGTGCACTTCTCTGGAAACCATTGGTTTTGCTTTCCTCCTTCTTTACAGTTTCCTCTCTCTCCCCCCTTATCATACCACTTACTCTATGTCCCTCACATGTTTTCTAAATGTCTACTTTATAGGCATGAGTGCGCTCTTACCACCATGAAGGGGTTGTAATGCTGTTCAGGGTGGCTGTGGCGTGCTTTCATTCTGCCCCTATATATTATTCATATTAATACAACTGAGCCATAAAATGGTCTATGTGCAGAGGGGCAAACATGACACGCTCTCTCCCATCAAGAGGAAAAACTGAAATGTGCAGCACTTGTGGCTTCATAACACACTGCTTATCAGGAGTTGGTATTCAGACTGAAAATGAAAATCTTACCTGTTACTGCATAAGTGCTTAAAACTGATATAACATTTCAATTGGCCTCGTTTACTAACTACTCTTCTTCTTCTCTGCTTCGTCTCCCTCTCCCATTACTTCTTAGGAATAATCATGACAGCAGTGGCAGATTTGGACCGTGAGACACAAGATCGTTATGAGCTTGTTGTCAAGGCAACAGACATGGCTGGACAAATGGGTGGTCTCTCTGGCTCCACCACAGTGACCATAGTGATCACAGATGTTAATGACAACCCACCGCGCTTCCCACAGAGTGAGTGTATCCCGCACATTCTTTCACCTTAGACTTTAACGTTGATGGTGATGTAGGCGAGAGACAAAGTAGTTGGAAATGACAGATGGACTGTTCTCTGAACAAATAAATAAGAGCATAATAAATAACAATGTGTCTTGCAAACCCAAAGTCTACATACAGTAGTTGCATGACTGTCCTGCATGCAGAGGAATTTGCCTAAACTATATTTATCTGCAAATCATACTAGCAGCTCATAAAGTGTATCAAATGAGGAGAACTTGTTTGTTCTACTGTACATCTGATATATATATATTTTTAAATCAATTATTGGGGGTAACCTCATAGCATTTAGCCAACACAATCGATTGTTTACTGTATTTTTTGTGATAATTATTATTTTCTTTTCTGCCTTTATGGCTCATGAATAGTGTCTAATTTGCACATGAACAATCGGTAGCTTTAATTAATTTTCTAAATGTCTAATCTAAATCCTCTACCAACACTGAAACTTTTAATAATAATATATATATTTTTAAATCTCTGAAAGCATATGCAGAGTTTAAACGTTGACCATAGCCATGCTCTGGCTGTGTTTATACATTAGATAGGTTAGTTTTATTTAAAAATGCATTATATAACCTTCTGAATCCTAAAGTGTGCCAAGAATAGGGCATGCTAATACAATTGCAATTTTTCTTCCTTAGTTCATTTTAGCTTTTTTTTTGTTTGTTTTCTCTTTTTCTGTGATGAAGTTGTAGTAAAACCCAATAGCAGCAGTGCATTTGATTAAGCAGAGGGTACAATCAGTTTAGTTGACAGAGAGTGATATGTCTTCACACACCTTTTCATATTTGTGTATGAAACCCTTTCTCATCTCAGTAAATCATATTTGCGCATTCAGAGTGATAAGCCCAGCAGAATTATTGAACCAACACTGCAGGATATGGGGAACAAAATCTAAAATAAGCTTTCATAAATCAGTTGCACATGTGGATGGCATGTGGTATATGCAATGACTGATGTTTAAACTTATTATTTTTTCCTTGTAACAGGAGCGTTTATTGCTGTATATTTAGTTGCTAATGATTTCTGGCAGACCCCAGATGTTTTGTGGGGTCTTTTCTGTCAGTTAAAAAAATATCTGACTTTTAAAAGCACCATTTATTATACAAATGAATGTTCTTAATAACACATGTATAGAGCATATTGTGCAGTGTGTTTGCGTGTACACTGTAGATTAGAATAAAACAGAATATCTTTCATTTGTGCCTCAGTGAAGGAAGACTTTGCTATCAGCAGGAAAGTGATACGCAAATAGAAAATACAGGTTATATAAACACACAATGCAAGTTCACACGTTACAAAATAAATATAAAAACAATGGAAAAACTATAGAAATGTGACAAAAATACAGAGTGAATTTTTTTTTTACGGTTAATAAACAGCATGATTAAAATAGTATATTGTATTGAAATAAGGGCAGCACGGTGGCGCAACTGGTAGAGCTGCTGCCTCTCAGCGAGCAGGTCCCTGGTTCAAACCCCGGTCCAGGGGCCTTTCTGGGTGGAGTTTGCATGTTCTCTCCGTGCATGCGTGGGTTTTCTCCGGGTACTCCGGTTTCCTCCCACAGTCAAAAAACATGCATGTTAGGCTGATTGGTAACTCTAAATTGTCCCTAGGTGTGAGTGAGAGAGTGAATGGTTGTTTGTCTCGTTTGTCTCTATGTGTCCCTGTGATGGACTTGCGACCCATCCAGGGTGTCCCCCGCCCCTCGCACAGTGATTGCTGGACATGGGCACCAGCGACCCCCGTGACCCAAAGTGGAATAAGCGGGTAAAGAAAATGGATGGATGGATGGTATTGAAATAAAGTAGAATGTGCTTGCAATTAATTAATTCATCATAAAAAATAATAACAGCAAAAAATATAAGGAAACTTGTTAAATACACATAATTTAACATGTAAACTTTTTTTGTGCCATGTAAAACTGTAGCTATTTGCCTGTTGTTGCCCATTTATTATTTTATTATTATTATTATTATTCATTTTACCATTTTTTTGTTTTGTTATGAATTCATTACCCGTCTATACAACTTGTTTGAACTCTATATTTTCTCCCCCTGGCCACCTTCTCAATTTATCAGAGATGTACCAGTTTTCAGTGTCAGAGGGAGCAGCTGTGGGGACACCGGTTGGACGTGTCATTGCTACAGATGCAGACATGGGGGAAAACACGGATATGAGCTATCTGATCAAAGAAGGAGGAGAGCTTTTCAAGGTCACGACAGATGTAAAGACACAGGAAGCTGTTGTCTCCATCAAGAAGGTACACCTGAACATAAGCAACGTCACAGTCCTGTTCTTGTTTTCTGTTTACCAGTCTTATGTGTGTGTGTGTGTGTGTGTGTTTTTTAATAGGAACACACAATAGCGACAATGCCTTTTTTTGCGAAGCATATACAACTTTGGGATTATTGTCTTTATGGGTAACACTTTACAATAAGGTACACAACATGTGATTAACTACTAAGGAAAGCCTTACCGGCACAGTAAGAGTATATATGTCCAGGTCTCTCTTGTAAATGGGGCTGATTGGGATTAACCTGTATAAATAAAGGTTGAATGAATGTTGAGTGAAAACCAGAGACCGCATCTCAACTTTAGAACCATACTTTATATTTGAAGCTAAGTTAGATTTGGCGTTGCTTTACTTTGCTTCCTCAACAATTTATTTATTAACCTTTTATTTAACCAGGCAAGTCCCATTGAGATCACAGATCTTTTTTGCAAGGGAGGCCTGGACCTGAAGGCAGCCTACATGCATGTTTTTGTTCTGTGGGAGGAAACCGGAGTACCTGGAGGAAACCCACGGAAGCACGAGAAGAGCATGCAAACTGCACACAGAAAGATCCCAGGTCTAACCAGGGATTGAACCCAGAACCTTCTTGCTGTGAGGCAACAGTGCTAACCACTGAGCCATCATGCTGCCATTGGGCAATTGGGCAGCTTGGTGTTTTTGTTTGCCATTTCATGAATTTTGCATAATTTCAAAGAATACTTTCAGATAAAACCTTTGGGCATCTGCTTTAAGGTTGACTTGAAAGTGGATTTTTTTTTTTTTTTTGGGGGGGGGGGGGGGTATTATACATAAAATCCAAACATTCTGTCACATGCAGTAGTCCTTGGCACACTGGACAAGTAGACGTAATTGGAATTCAGTTGGCAAGAAATCACCATGAAGGCCACGTCTCCTTTTAGAAAACTCTGAGACATATTGTGATAAACGGAGATACATGACTGGTGTTCAAAAATTGCTCACTGGTAATAACCCCCATAGGTCTAGTTTAGTGAAACAATTTAACGTTGAAAATTGAATTATGGTAAATTAGAATCAGTGTTAATGGATTTTAATCCAACCTATTCACTTTATTTATATGTATGCCATTTTAACCATCCTGAAATATATTTATGGGGTTGATGGTTCTTTAATGTAGCCATGAAGGTATTCATTTGTGCTGCTTAGGTGAACAAAAGCCATACATGTTTTATTGTAGTCTGATGGTATGCACTATCAAATCCTGTATTCTCAGTGCATCCTGTGTGCATTTACACTAGCTCTTAGAATGGTCTACTTGAATTTAGATCATCCAAAGTGCATCTTTACATTTTCATTACATTTAGTTCTTTAACAATGAAGCAAATTACTTAGGAACAACATTTAGGCTTTAGTGCAGTAAGGGGCCTTGACATATGTCATAAGTGCTTTATATTTTTAGTTTGTAAAACAATAAATGACAGCAAAGATGGAAAAGGTACATAAGTAAAAATGTCTGTAAATTCAGATTAAACATTTTAGGGTGTTAAAAGATGTTTATTTTATTTATTTATTTATTTTTTGTATGAATTTGGTGATACTGACTAGTTAAAACTATCCATTAAAAATATCTTATTTAGTTTTAGAAAGTTTTTTTTTTTTTTTTATTATTATACACCATTTTGAAAATGTCAGAAATAAGAGATTATCAGATCAGAAAAAGAAAAAAAAAATCTAAATTGGGCCTCAGTTAATATATGTTTGTGTTTGATATTGAGATCACTGAATACAGTTCAGGTCCTGATCACTGTTACCCTATGCAGTCTACTGTAACAGTGTAACAGTAGGATTCAGCTACGTAATTAGTTCATGTCGAAGCATTATTTACCCCGAGCACACCGTGCTTGATTATATACACACCTTTGGTATTTTCCTTACACAAATACCATAAAACTACTGCAACTCACCAATATCACTGAACCTGTGGTAGACTGATTATTCAATCAAAAGATAATGAGTAAATGCAGCACAGTAGCATGTTCCAGAGAAGCAAGTGAGTCAGCCACATGCTGTTTAATGTCTTTAGAAACAAAATTACATGTTCAATGTCATTACCAAACAATTACCATTTTGACAAAAGAGGCAACAAAGCATAGTTAAGCAAATCTGAGGATACTTCACAGAGGGCCTTACTATACGGCAATCACCTTAACAGTGTGGTAATAGAGTTCACTCGTGTGTGTTTGTGTGTGTGTGTGTGTGTGGGGGGGGGGGGTTATTGAACTGTTTAGCTGCAGTTATTTAGTTTCTTCCTTTTTTTCAGATGCTAGATTTTGAGAGCAAGCAGACACACAATGTGGTCGTTGAAGCTGTAAATAAGCACGTCGATCCTCGCTTTGTGGACCTGGGATCATTCCGAGACCAGACCATTGTCTGTGTGAGTGTGTCGGACATAGATGAGCCACCCATGTTTCAACCTGCAGAAGGCACTATAATGGAAGTTCAAGAGGATGCCAAAGTTGGGTCGGTGGTTGGGATTGTCACAGCTCGAGATCCAGATGTGACGAATAAACCAGTGAGGTTTGTAAAATATATTGCATTATCTGAAAATAGTTCAAAGCAATTTTTTTTCACATAAATAATAATAACATATTGTGCACACAAGTTTATTTAAACGTTTTAAAGTCGCAGATCATAAATAAATGTACTTCATATTAATGAATATTAATATGAAATATTACGCATTATTAAAAAGATTAATCAATAATTAATAAATATTAACCAATCATCAATATCTTATCAATGGTTCATTAGATATTTTGCCAATAAAGACTCAATAAAGCACACAGACATAAGTATTAACATAATTGTGCAACTTTAATGACATCGGGCAATAAACATAAATTCTGCATATCGTGTGCTTCCTTTAAATGTAAAAGTATGTGATTTATTATGTTTTTCTGGTTTGCATTCAATATATGTCACGTTCCAAGATCAACGCAGACATAATTCACAACCTTATGTTTCTCTCCACCCACTACTTCACCTCTACTCTGATATTTGGTATTCCAGCATTTAATGTAATTAAACCATGAACCAGTTTTGGATGTAAAATGTTTTGATTTTTAATGAGCTTCTTGTCAGATGAAAAAGGAAAGAATAAATCAAAATTTATCATCATTTTCAGGATATACTAACTTCAGGAAAATCAACAGATGTTAAAATGTTTGTTAGTTAAAATAATGAACAATGTCTTGTGTTTGCTCCGGCCACTTTGTGTGTGTGGAGGGGGGGCGGTGCTTTTGAACAATTCTTCAGTCTTCAGAAAGGATCCTAATAAAGTTTTGGATCATAACAGTTTTATGATCATGGTAAAGTTTCTCTGGATGAAGTTTCAAAGTTGTAAAAAGTTCCTGGATATCCTTATAATATCAAACTGTATCATTTTATGGTGTCCTTGGAGAAAATAGAAAGTGGTAGACTTAATAACAAGAATGACAAAGTACATGCTCAATAATCCAGGTATACAATCCAACATTGTTCAGTCAGGTCATCTGGAT